TGTATGTATATAAATATATATATATATATATATATATATATTACCTTTTAGTAGTCATCAATATAAATGAGGGGGATATAATTGATTTTTTAATAAGGGTTTACTTTTTATTCTGAATTCTTACGTGTCTGTAATATTGACCTACAGGAAATAATTTGGACCTGTAAAATACAAAATTTTAATGCTTATCAAAATATTATAACTAAGCTTTCTAATAAACAGGGAAAAAACTCTACTTTTGACATATTTACAAGTTTTCCAAGGTCATCTTTGGCCTTAATCCAGAGTTGTAAAAATAATTTTGTTATAGGCTGCATTTACTAACATCTTATAAATTTATTACAAAGGAGTATATTTAGAAGTACTGAGGACTTACAAGGTTTAGCACAAACCCTTGTCTCCAAGATGGAGCAAACAAGAAAATTCATTGTATTCAAGTCAAGTAAATACAATGGCTATAACAGTCAGAAAATATAGTCAGATATAAATTATGTGCTAAACCTTATAAGTCCTCAGTATTTCTAAATATACTCCTTTGTAATAAATTTATAAGTTGTTAGTAAATGCAGCCTATAGTAAAAAAAAAAAATTTTAAAGATGATTGCCTAGGAAAGTTATATAAGACAGTCAGAAAATATAAAAATATAGAGATAAGATAATCAGATATAAATTATGTGTGTAGTATTAGAATCCTATTAGAATGTCTGGTTTAAAAATAGCTATTATGATTAAGAAATTATAACATTTTTAAAAATGAATTTACATGTTATGATGAAAATATTTGGTTTTAAGCTTTATCCTAAATTATTTCTTGTTACCCTGTATTTTCATTTATTAAAAGAAATGATTATTCTTTTTTTTTCTTTTCTTCACAGAGTGGCATCAGAAGTTCTCTCTTACTCTCTATGTTAAAACAAATGTTACAGGAAGACAAAGATGATGCTGTTCGAGAAACTGTAATAAGAAATTTATCTTTACTGTTATTATACGTTGAAGACATTGATAAATTCTCAAAAGTATGCTTGATTTATGTTTATAGTTTACGTTTTATTTAATGTGGCACATGTTTTTATTTGCAACTTAATTAAACCAAATTTAACTTTTTTTTCAGGCATCTGAATTACTATTTTTATCTTTGGAAGACAGGAGCTTAAATGTTGTTGAAACTAGTCTTAGTGTTCTATTACCTTCAGTTGCTATGTGGGCTTTGGAGATTAATTTTTTAGAATCTCAACTTTTTCCATCTGTGATGTCAGTTTTACAGAATCATTTCAAAGTTTGTATTTCTTGTATATTTTTAGAAAACCTTTTTTTTTTATCATATAAATGATTCTTTTTCTGATTTTATTTTAGCAGAAATTATTAAAGAAATTTTGAATATTAATTTTAACTTACATATATTGATATTCTTCCAATTTATAATTTTAATTGTGATTTTATATAGCTTGAAAAGCTTTAATTTATATTTTTTAATAAAACTATTTAAGTTTTTTTATCCCAAACTTAATATAAATAAAATTATTTTTTATAGCAAAATGTATTTTAAGCAATGTAATATTTAAAAAAATTTAAATTCCAAGTTAAAAACATATTAAAGCTAACAATGCAAAATGTCTTTAAGATTTTAGCTGCTTCTTGGTTAATAATATTAATCTAAATATTGGATGTATTTTTTGTAGCAATGTATTTTGTAGCTTCTAATTGTTTAAAGTAAAATCTAATTTTTTAAGTACTTTATTATTAATGAAATTATTATAAATACTGCAATATTTTTATAGCTAATGTTTCTAATAATGGAAAAATGCTGTTTATAATTTTAAATAATTGAAAATCAATAATAAATTATTTTTAACATTGACAAGAAAATATATATACAATATAACAAAGACAAAAAGAGTAAAAGAGAGATTATCAAGGAAAATTAAGAAAAATGGTACTTTAATTATAATTTCTTTTGCAATTTTAAATAAATTTTTCTGAAATTTTAAAGCAATAATTTTCGAATTAAGTTTAAATTACTTTAAAAGTTTTGTTTAATTTTATTCAATAATTTTAAGAGTTCTAACAATAAATCCTAAGCCAAAGAAATAAATTTTTATAAAAAAATCCATATCTCCATAAGTATCTAAACTTGGTTTACAAAAATTTGTTCAATTATGGCATATAATAACTAAAATCATTGTTACGAGTTACAATTTTATTCTTACAGTTTTTGGCAGAGGGTGTTTAAAAACGCTATTTTCCGTTTGTAATTTAATGTTGGTCCCTGAAACCTCTAGGAGCTTTAAATTTCATTGAGAAGTATGAGAAATGTATGATATAAACACTTCTGAAGTTGTAAAATTATTCTTTAATTATTTCTTAAAAAATATGAGAGAAAAAATTTATTAGTTTCAGAAAGTTATATTGTACTTATCTGAAAACAATGCAAGTTTTAAAAATATCATCTCGAGAATAAAAAAGACTTAATCACTATATTGTCCCTTGCCCTTTGTATAATTTTTTTTTTCAATAAATATCTCAGAATATTCTTTATAGCATTTGCTTTATAACATTTTAATTATCCTGCCACTTTACAACATTTCATAAAAAATTTCTTTCTTATTTCACCTTTTCTGTATTAAGCAATATTGGCAGGAAAGCATGATCATGAAATTTCTGTTCTTAACTAAGTCTTGTATTAAAAGTGTCCACAAGGATATATGCTTACTTTTAGTGTTTAGAAGCCTTAAAAGTCAAATTATGTAACTAATAATTTTATTCTATCCTGAAAATGTTATTTTTTATTACTCTGGAATTATTTTTCTTAATGTCAATTTGCTCAATTTAAATCTCATTTTAAAATCAGTTTTGTGTTTTTAAGAATGGAAAAAAGTGTAAACTATAGTTTTAAAAAAATGCCTCATGTATTTAGGTTTTATGCAACATTCCATCCCCTCCTGTGATTGGTAGTTTACAAAATGAAGAACAGGTTTGCATAATGATAGTTAGAGCTCTTTCTTCATTGCTTCCTTTCCTATTTGTACATGTGATAAAATCCAGGCCATACATTGAAAACCCTGATATAACCTGCAGCTCTCCCACTGAATTTGATGGTGAGTAAAGTAGTTACTGCTCCGTTACTTACAATTAGAGCCAAGATTTTGTTAACCTTAAAATTCCTCAGAACATGCACTTATATGTTTTTGTTAACCTTTAACCCTTTCGCGTCGACTATCACAAATACGTGCCAGCATAAAACTGTATTCTTCAGGATAAAAAGATAAAACTGGTAATAAAAGTAATTCTTTAGCAGTTTATTTGTGGGTGGAGTTATAATTGTTTGATTTATTTAATTCACCATTACTTAGTTCAAAATAAAACTATTTAGTTATACTTTGAACTAACATTAATAATATATATGATTAAACTAACAATAAAGTAAAAGCAAAGTAAGTCTGTTAAATTAGCAACGACTACATTTAAGTTACCGTTTTTTATTTAATTGCATCCTGATTCTGATTTTGTACAAATACTTTACTGAATCACCCGTCCTCAAGTTGTTGAATTCCTCAAAACATGCATTTATATACATAAAAACAATGTCTAATTGTTCTGCTATTCCAATATGCAATATTCACTATTGGTTCAATGTATGCTTTTATTTTGGTTTTATATAAAAACATAATTTATGTTTAGAAATTATTCGTATTTTTGATTTTATGTATGCAAAATATTAAATTTTTTTGGATTTTGTATGGTTTTTGGACAATAAAACTAGAAATTATTAAAAAGTATTCATTATTAAAAGTATTACCGTATATTCCGGCGTATAATGCGCACTTTTGATTCAAATAACATTGGAATTTACGGGTGCGCGGTATACGCCGATTATCAAAAATTATAGATTAAAGGTTTTCTCGCCCTTCAACGTCCAAGTGTTCCACTGTTTTTTTAAATTGGCTTTAAATGGTTTGTTTAAGCAGACGTCCAATGGCTGAACTAATGGTGTCAATCCGCCCGGAATAACTGCCATATCGGTGTTACATTGTTTCAAAAAAATTTTTGTATTATCTGTAAGGTGGGACCTAAACATGTCCCACACTAAAAGGCTTTCTGGTTTTCTTATGCAGCCAGGATGGATTTGCCAGTCATTTTTTACCCACAATTTAACACCATTTTCGTCCATCCAGCCTTTTTCGTGGACATGAACAAAAATACCTTTTGGAAAATTACATTTGGGAAGAGTATATCTTAAAATTTAAAAAAGGCATTAGAAATTACGGGTGCGCATTATACGTCGGGGCGCGTTATGCGCCGGAATATACGGTAATTATTAGAAATTATTTAATTATTATTAAATCTTTTTAGTGGATCGCTTACCAGTTTATCATAGTAGTATATTGAATCCATCCATTATTCTTGGTGATGGGGATGAGTTGATGAGTGCTGTAAAAACATTTGATAAATATATAAACAGTGAATGGTATAAACCTTGGCCTGAGCATGATTTTGTTATTAATGAACTGTAAGTTGTAATTTTATATTATTTCTTTTTTCAAACAATGTTTTTATAATATTTTTAAATATAAATTTTTTTAAATTAAAATTAGTTTCATTTTAAAATACAGTACTGTTATAACGAAGAAATATTATTTGTCACATGAACTAAATTGTTTTCTATTGGGTTTAACTATTTGTAATGATGCTTAATGATTAGGTTTATAATTGTTGGAAGAGTCATTAAATCAACTAATGAAAATTAGTAATTAAAAGTAATTACACAAATCAGACAAGTGTTCAAAATATAGAATATAAATCTGCAAAAATTACTATTTTAAAACATGTAGAATTATATTTAAATAACAAGAAATCAAGTAGAGTTGTTTTTTTTTTAAATTATAAAAATTATTTAACCTCTTAAATTTAGGTGTAATCCAAATTAAAATAAATTTATCTTTAAGCAAATTACAAATAAAATTTATAGAGTATAGGATAAGCAGCAAAAAAAAATTTATTATGCTAATCAATTTATACCTTATAATAATTGCATCAATTAATAAGTTTCAAGTAAATTCAACTATGAAACTTTGTGTCCCCATAATTTAGAAAGTAAAATTAAATATTAAAGAAATAATTATAATAAAAACTTATTTATTTTTATAATTAGCCCATTACTATGGTTAATTCTACAATTTACTGAACTTCACTAAATGCAATTATTTATTCTTGTGCTCAATTATTTTCTGGCATAACACATATTTTACAAATCACATCATATTTATTTAAATCAAAAGAATCATAATTTAAATCATTTGGTTTAATTACCAGGCATTTCTCTTTATAAATATTACCTAACAGTTTTCTCCGACCGCAAATAGGATTTAGTATTACCCCAGTCATAGAGAACCAAATCTCCCAAATATAAATTTGTAACCATCCTTAATAGGACAAACTCAGTTTTCACAGAAAACACATTCAATAATTGCATTATAAAAGGATGAATAAATGAGAAATAGTGAAAAATACCTTTCCATGGCTCATCAAAAATATTAAAAATTAATCCATATATATCTAAAATCAAAAGTGATCATTATAGAACGAAATGCTCTTTATGTCAGAATACCTAAACGATTTTAATCGAAGTTCTACAAAAAAAAAATTAAACTTAAGTTTTTTAAAATTTAAAAGGATATTGAAAAGTATAATTAAATGAACTAACATTTACTAAGCAAATAAACCTTTTTTACCGGAGGAAAACCATTTTCTACCTGTCCCGACGGTGACTTACATAAAAAGAGAGTGCATATGTCAATTCCTTAATCTAAAAGGGAAATGTAGACATCCCAACAGATTATTATCGCCATTTTAAATAAAATAAATTGATAGGTTAAATCACAGGCCATCAAGTACTGGATGAATATTTCAATTTAGATTGCATTTTTATATATTTAATGTTATTTGCGTTTAATTATTGCACTTTGTGTTTGCATTTTTTTTTATTACAATGCTTGTAATAATATTAACTAGATATGTGATGCATATCAGGTCAGTAGAAAGTTTTCTTCTGGGTTGAAAAAATGCTAAAAAAGTAACTGAAAATAGAAGTATCCCAAAATAGACCTCTTTTGAAAATTAAAACACAGAGGAGATAAAAATTTTTGGTTTGTATGCTGCTTAGGGAAATAGGTACTTTATTCTCACAAAGTTTCAAAATTAGCTATCAAATTTTCAAAAGAAGGTACAGCTGACTGGAAATATCCATTATTTGAACAAACAATGTTGTGCAATCTAAAAATAAAATTAATAGGCACCAGTACAAATATTTCAATTAAAATGTTCTGACAAGCAGCAGAAGACATTATTTTTAATGATTGCAACGCCATCTGCTATCAAACGGTTTCGCTATTTTTGAATTTTGCAGGGGGGGGGGAAACAATGCAAAATGCCGTAGACCATGCATTTTTATTGATTGATCTTAAAAATTTTGCTGGTCATTTTTGAGTTATCCAGAATTAAGAACACTTTATCTAAATTGTTATGAAAGATTATTTGTTGAAAGTTAGACAAAAAAGTTAAACTTATTTTTCTATAACTTTACTTTATATAATTTTGTTATATTAATTTTATTTCTTGTGGAAAAATAATTCAGATAGAAAAATGTAACTGAAAATATTTGAATATGCTTTTTCCCTCAATTTTTTTGATTATATAGAATTTAAAAACTTTTAATCAATCTACTAATTTGCATTGCTTTGTTATTTTTTAAAGGCATTGTGTAACTAAAAAGTTTCCATTTTTATCAGACCCTTTTATTTATAAATTGTGATTAATAGCCTGATAAATTTTTATATTTTTAGGTTATCCTTTCTTCATTCTATTCTGAGTTTAGTAAGCTCACAGCGACATGCACTTGTTCATACATTAGTGGAGCTTATGCGTAATTTTTGCCACCTTTTTGGGCGATCATTTACTCAAAAATATGTGAAGCCATCTTTTCTATCAAAATTAAAATTAAAGGAAGATGAAGGTATTTTTCTTATTTTGAAATTGTTTTTATTTTGTTTTAAAGTTTTTGATACTTTAACATACAAGTGTAAAAGTAGAAAAAATATTATTTTATATGATGTACCTTTTACCAAAAAATTAATTTACTATTATGCATGTAGCACAGCTTTGTGCTATTTTTTTCTAAAAAATAATTGTATAACGCTATGTTGATTTGCCTAGTTGTAATGCTTCTAACATTTTTTAAATATTTATCTATTTATATTTTTTTATTTATAGATACATCAAGCAGATCAAGTTACCAAGATGCTACAGTTCCTGTCTATATTGCAGGTGTATTGAGTGTCTTTAATCAAGTACGATAATTTAGATTTTTCTTCTAATATTAATATTAAATTTGTATATTTGTATTTAGCATTTTATTCAATGCTACTAAAATATCTTCGTAATTTTAGAAATCTCTATTTTATTAAAAATTAAATTTGTTTTGAATAATTTACAAAAATTCATATTTTTGTAGGCAGAAGATCGACAAGAACTTTTGGAGTTCCTTCAAAATTTACTAGTTGACATATCAACACATCATATTCCTGACAACAGTATAAAAGCCGCAATTACGGAGTTAAGGTAAAATTGATGCATCTTCTTTATTTATTTTACTGTAAATAATTATACTGAAAAATATTTTAACAAGTAATGTGTATACAATTTTGAGTAGGGAACTGTTTTTGTGTTGCTATTTAAAAAAAGTGTTTTTTTAAAAATTAGTGTAGTTTTTTAAAAAATTATTCTTGCTTTTACAATTTATTTTGTATAAAAAATTGAACTATGTATTATAAAATGAAAAGGGGCTACTAGGAGTTAATTATTTATATATTTTAGATATTTATATATAATTTATTATTTACATATCATTAATTATTTTTAACCAACTGTCAAATCACATTTATTCAGTTTGCTGTACTAAACAATGATGAAAACCTTACATATTTGTTAAATTCCCTGAAAAATGTTTGTAACAATTTAAACCATGCATGTTTTTTTTAACTACTTAAAAACTTCCTTTATCTTACTTTTTATTTTCTGAATCATTTTTGTTTAAAATTACTTGATTTAGTGATAATATCTATGTTTTAGAAAATAGTTTGAGGTTTTGCATTGAAGTAAAATATTCTGTAGCCTGTTATTTAAATGTTAGTTATTACAAATACCAAATCATTGTTTGTAATGCAGATTTTTTTCAATCGTGAATTAGTTAGTGTGAAATTTTTAAAATTCTTTTTTTGGTATAGTGCATTAATTTTACTGACTATCGAAATTTGTTACTTTTAAATTAAATTCATTTTTCTCAGAATAATATTTTTCCACTAAACATGTTTTATCATATGTTAATTGTTATTAAAAATGAGAGCATAGCCATATTTTTTTGCCAAAATTACTAGTTCAAATACTAATTTTTTAATATTTGGCTAGAGATTTTATAAAATGTGCAATTTATTGAAAAATAAAATTTTTTTTTATCAACTTATTTTTAAAACTGAAATATAAGGATATGGATTTTGTATTTTTAATAATGTAATGAATTTTTACAAATACTCTTGAATGCAGTTATAAGTTTTTTGTGAAAAAAATAAATCAAAAATATAGATCCCTATATTTATAAATTATGCTAAACCTAAGGAAAGTTGTTTTATATATGTATTTAAACTTAAACTGTTTTTCAAAAATATTTTTTAATTATTCAGTTTTGACTTGAATAGTTTTACTATGGACCCGGGGTCGGTAACCTGTGGCTCGCGAGCCGCATGTGACTCAGTCGCTGTGAGCCAGTTATAAGCCAGATTTAATTACACATTCAAAAGGCATGCAAAGACAATTCTCCCATTGATGTAACTATCTATATTTGTGTTTTTATATGAATAAATATTATTTCATATTTAGAGCTGTTTATTTTAAATCAAAAATCACATATATATAAGCAAATACTATAAAATTTGATTGAAAACTTTTAGTGGCTCTTTAAAAACTGGGAAATTTTGTATATTGCAACTTTTGGCTCTTCAGTTACAAAAGGTTGCCGACCTCTGCTATAGACCATAAAGGACAAGATTGCTTTACACAATTAATAAAATTAGTAAATGTGCATAAGGACAGTAAGACTTTCTGAAGGAAAAAAACTTAAAAACCTGAGTTTAATTGTTATATAGAATGTGCATTTATCAAAAATGGCTAAAATTCAATGCAGTTTCATACATATATTATCAAAATGTAATAATATTACGAACATGAAAGAAATACCTATAAATGATGAAATATTAATACTTAAAAAATGTAGTTGATAGAATATTTATATGCATTTATTGAGATATTGTAGTACTTAATAAGAAACAAACCTTTCTCTTTGATTTTTTTTATTATTATGTGATTTCATATTGTTTAAAATTTAAAAATTTTATTAACCTAAACTGTGTAACTTTGTAAGATTTTTAGTGTCATTTAGGCAAATCTGGTCATATAATTACTTGCATTTACTTTCAGTTCCAATAAAGCATATCATGAACTACTGCTTTCTGTTCTTTGGGATGGTGTTGTACATAATTCATCTTTAGTAAGAGTTACTGCTGGAAGACTATTTGAAATCTTGGTTGGAGTTGTATCTGAAAGTCTATTACGCACTCGTGTGACCCCAGCCCTCGTGACTCTAGCCAGTGATCCTGAAATGTAAGTGAAGCCTTTACTAATTTATGTTTATACAACAAAATAGATTTCACACAAAATATAGTTTTTTTATCTATTTTATGTTAAATATGATATTAATGCTTACCACCCATATATTCTAATTACATATGCCTTTAATGGGTCCTTGCGTTTTTAGTATTCAATAATTACTTTAATTAGTGCTAAAATGTGCGAGCATAAGTATCATATTCCTTTTTTCATCAAATGTATTTATAAATTTTATTTACTACTTAAGAAAAAGTTTTCCTAATAAAAATGAGTAGAGTATTCACTAAATTTTCAGTTATCATTTTCAGAATAAAAATACATTTTTTAATTTTTAAATTTATGTGTAAAAAAATTTAAAAATGATACATTTAAATTTAAAAAAAAAGAATTTTTAAATTTATGTGAAAAATAAAATTAAAGATTAAAATGCTTAAACTCTGATCGGAAAGCTGATTCCTTTGTTAACAACATATGTTTTTCACCACCTCTCCAAAGCATGTGGAAATGCATTTTTTCCTGATTTGCACCTATTGGCCACTGTGGTTTTAATTGTTCTTTTTTTCAAAATGTAGTATAGTTCGGGATTCAATCCTCCACACTGCATAGTCCTAACGACCACATGCGATATATGTGCTTGCAAAATCTGTGAATAAAAAAAATTCTTTGGTTAGTCGCTGAGCTATACCGTGGATGCAGGGATCTGGGAAAATTTCCTTCCCCTTCAAATCTATATCTAAATTAAGGAAGTGACTGCGCAAATGAAATCCTCTCTGCAGAGAATCACAATTGTGATAGCATGTCTTTGAATCATCCTAGTGAATGTTTCCCCGACTGTTACTGTTGCAGTTAGCTCTAGTTTGACGTAAATAAAGTACCTACCTACCTATTTCATCTTTTTTCTCTTTCGGCTACTGTTGTTTTTCTAGTTTAGTTTCTCACCTTTATTTTTTCATTGGCAACTTTACGTTTTTTATTTCAAATCACTTTTGTTTCTTCACATTCTGGTCTGACAAGTCTTGAAAAATGGTCGTCCATTTTTTAAGCACTGAATTGAAGCAATCAAAATTTCACTGAATTCTCATGTTAAATACTACTTATCAAAAAGATTAATTAATCAGGTTTTAACACATTTATTAATTATGTGTAAAGGTAATTGAAGCTTCCCCACACCTTTAAATGGCCTTCATATTTAAATAAGTAATAGGATGACTAATATTTATTTATTTTAATAGGAACAACAGTATATATAAACTTCTGTTTAATTTTTCTTGATAAATATGATGCTATTTGTTAGATAATTGCTAAAATACCATCGGTTTTAAATATTATCATTCTGTTTCCCATTATAGCGTTGTAAGAATAGCAACAGTACCTGCATTTGGAGCAGTTATGGAACTTAGTTCTCAAAGAGATGTAAGTTAAAGTTAATCATTTTATTTTTTTTTCACATTTTTTTTATTTTAAATGAAAATTGCTCACATTTCTATTTCTTATTCTTATCGACTATATATATAATATATATTTACCGTAATAATATTCTTTGAAGTGTTTTTATTTTTAAAAAATCCAATATGTCATTAATAATTTTTATGTTCTCTGTAGCATGAAAAAATTTATGAAATGACTTTATTAACTGATAATGTGCGATTCAATGCTGTGTGCTGGCATATAGAAATTAAAAACTTGTATTAAATATCCATTTAAAAAGTAATATTTTTCATGAATTAAATTGCAAAAAATTAATTTTGAGAAATAATTTCATTGATCATTTTGAAACAGTTGTTAAGTATTAAAATATGAATAATTTAATTAATTTCATTTTTCAATACATGATAAATTTTGTGTATCTGTTTTTGCTTTGTGCTGCAATTTAGAATATCTCAAGCTTTCTTCGTCAGGTATGGTATGCATTGTATAAAAGCTGTAGTGTAGAATTTCCTGTTGCTTTGTGTTGAATGATATTTTCATATTCTTCTGCATGATTGGTAAAAGTTATGTTATAAAATATTTTATTGTCCTGCATTAAAGTATGAAATTCTGAGATAAGGTGCCTGTTTTTTTATTTTTTACAAATGTAGCTAATTTCCATAATTTTATTGTTAATTTAATACTAAAATAACTGTAAGTTTATGTGTACAGTTCACTTATTTGTATTAATAGTGGTCAAATAAACAACAGTTTATAATTTTGTATCTTAGAAATGTTTTTCTTTATAAAAATAAAAGGTTTTGTTTATTTTTCATAATTGTATTGAATGTTGATGTTATCCATTGTCTTGCTTATTTTTATTGCTACTTGAATGTGTTGATCTATACTTTGACTTTTTTTATTTTTCATTGGTATAGAAATGTGTTGTTGTATCCATTGTTTTCTTGTTTTTTTTTTTTTGTTTTTTTTAAATTCATATTTTGTTTTGCATGTTTTTAATCATTTACATTTGATCTTTATCTTTTAAAAACTCTAGAGTATTTATGTGTAAATGCTTTTATTCTTATATTTTAAGCTTCTTGAAAAAGCTCATCTTCAGCTTCAGACATTTCTTGATGATCAGTTATATCGAGATCAGCATCTGTTATATGTTGAAGTCATTAAAACCTTTGCTAAAATTGGTCCCAATACAGAACCTAAATTCAGGGATGAATGTAAGAAACTTATGATTATTATTTTCTTTTAATTTGTTATGGCTATTTTCTCTTTGGTATTTAAAAATGCAAATTTTTTCTTATAAATGTTTTCAAAGTATATAAAAAATTAATGAATATAAAAAATTTAGCTTACATCCTCAAGTTTTATGTTGTTTTTTTAAAGGGGTATGAATTGTATTACTCGATTATTATTTAAGTTGTGTAAAAACTACCTTTAGGAAATTAAATATAATTGTAGCTATTATATGAATCATTTATTTATCATTACCAAAATATTTAAATCTGCATAGTTATTTAGTTTTTTCGTCTATTATAATCTTCTTGTACTTTGTCATATACACTTTTAACGGGATAGATTTTTCATATCCCCCCCCCCCAAAAAAAGAACTAAATATGTAATCTTAAACGATGACACAATTTTGTTTTTTGCAAAGCGTAATAAGTTAATTACATATTTAGGAAGAACTAAATACAAAATAATGCAACATAACAAGGGACTCATACTGAGAAAGATGAAAAAAATTCCAAGCTCACAAATTGGTATCAGTATACATTATAAAATTTTTATTAATTTTTCCATAATTTGAAAATTTTTCTTTAACACAAGTGCTTTCAATTACTATAATATCTCATAACATGTTTTTTTAATTAATTTCAGTTTGCATGTTTAAGTCAGAAATTGTTCTTCAAATTATGTATAATTTTTTGAACATTTCTAGGTGATAACTAATTATAGAAAAGCTTTCAGTTCATTGAAAATAAATTCTTGAAATAATAATTACAGAATTCAAAAACAAGAATTATAACGTAAAATTTTGAACCTAAATCTGTAGAATCAGAGTAGTGTATATGATAGGGTAATATTAAGTATATATTGAGTACAAATTGATAAAATGAATTTTAGTTTAATTGTACCTGCTATACAAAGAAGACCTAACAACTGTCATCAGTGTAAATTTCTAAAATATGTTATGGAATAATCTATATTATTATTTTAAAGTAATGAGTTGTACTTTTTACAGTTGTATTACCTAGATTAGCTGCTTTGGCAGCTGAAAATAATAGCACCAGCAATGAAACAAAGAAAATGGACATCGCTCTTGCTCTACTAGAAGCATATACCGCCATGTCTTGTTGCTGTATCCTTTCTTTTATACATAATATTTATCTAATTGTTGATTTATATTAATATTGTTAATGAGTATTGGTCCATATTTTTTTCTCTTTTTTATTCAATGACTTTGTTTGAGTTTATCATCTTGAATCACAAGACTCATCCAACTAGTTTGCTAAATTTACTTTCCTGTTCAATAATATCGCCCTAAAAATAGTAATATTCGTCTGTTGACATTTTTTTACCTAGTAACTAACTTATACTTTCTGACATATTTGAATGAACTTTTTTTCCCTGAATATTTTGAAATATATAAATTAAAATATTGCATTGTTTAAAATGGAAAGCAACTTTGAGCATGTGGATTTTTCCATACTTGGGTAAAATACTGTAATTTTTTTTTTTTTTTTTTCAGTTCTAAGAGAAAACTTTTGTTTTGTAGTAATTGTGTATCTTTTGTAATAATAGTCAAAAAATTCTTACTTTATTATATTTATTTTTTTTCTCATAATTTAAATAATTATGTAATATCTAACTAAAAATTTATATGGAAATAAAAAAATTATATTTTTTTTCTCCCCTATTAGATGTATAGCAAAAAAGGTTAAAGCAAAATTATCCATTATAATTGAGTCAAAGAAAATATAAACAAACAAATCACATTATGTTATTCCGTGCATTAATCTTCTTTAAAATAATTAAATTATTCTTTTATAATGAATTTTTATGATTTCAGAGGATAATATGCAATAAAATGATGCATATAATAAAATGAGATAGTTGTTGACTTTTTAATTGAAACAAAAACATTATAGCAGTGTTAACATGTCATTGTACACAATTTAAAATTAAATGTAGAGAAAGAAATAGTTTTAAAAAAACTGGGTTCTTAAAACTATATTAATCTCGAAAAAATTTAATTCTAAATTCATTCAAAAAATTTGTGAACCTGTTAAGAACTCTTGTGTGTAGCTTTATTTTTATCAATATGACATCTTTCAAAACTCTGTAAGCATTTTTTTTGTGCAAAAAATTTTATATTAACCAGAACTGGCTCAAAAGGGCAAGTAATGATATAAAAGGAAAAAAAAATCTTAGCTTTCCATCCCAGTTTAAATTAAGATAATAAGTATAGATAAAAAAAAACTTGTGATAACTTCAAAAACTTTTGGGATATTTTTTTTATTTCCAGTGCATAATTTCTTCAAACAATTTTCCATAATTCATGTCTACTTTTCAAGTCACCAGGATTTTACTTTTAATTTCATATTTTTTCAGTTTTTTTTTTTTTTTTTTTTTTTGGTATTATGATTATTATTATTTGTAATAGTTTTAATTTATGCTTTAAAAGTAAACATTATAAATATATATTGTCTATATCTGCTTGTGATCTAGTAAATGTTTGTGTATATACATTCCATTAAATGTATTAAAATGCACTTAATATAATTAGTTATGAGTGAACAGTTAATTGCTGAAGCTTTTCTACCTGGTTTGAGATGCTTGAAATCTGATGTTCAACAAATTGCTCATGAATATGAAGATACTATCAACAGTATGATACAAGAATTTGAAGCCAAACTAGACATAGGAAGATCTGTTGAAAGGTATATAAGTTAAAGCTGTTTTGCGGAATATTCTGTATATTTATTTATTTTCTCTTTTACTTAATTGAAGAAAATAAATATTAAATTTCGTATTTCTTTAATATTTTTTTAATTTTCAGCCGTCCTCGTTCAATATCTGTTACATCCCCTGGAAGCATGGAAGAAATGAAGAACAGAGTAACTAAAATGTTTTCTGGGCGACCAGTGGTTACCAGACCAAATATTCCCAATTTATTCCAACTACGTAAAAAATAGCACTGTAGTTAATCCTGGTGCAATATGTCCATTTAACATTCCACGTTGTGATTATTGAAAAACAATATTTTATAGAGTTGTAAATAATGAAAAAACAAATAGTTTTGTAATTTTAAAATGGTTAATATTTTATAGAATTTTTAAGTGGCTCTAAGGAGTAAGTGATAGTGTTATTGTTTGCTTTAAAATTTTCTACACTTTTTTGTTGTTAAAGTTGTGCATATGTGCTAATTATTTCACTGGTCTTGTTATTTTGTTCCTTGTAAAGATATTTTAAAATTTTTGATGTCTGTGTTTTTTACTTGTAAATTATTTATTGATATGTTTGATGTTGCTCTGAAGTATGTGTATGATATTTTGCTGTTGTATAAGAATTGTGCTTTTACGTGAAATATCTTATGATCGATGCAATGGTTTCACTAAGTTATTCTGTATTGTATTATTAGTATTCAAGTTAAACGCATTTTCAAATGCTTAAAATAATTTTTCAACAATTAGTGAAAAACAGTATTTTTTATTTATTATCAGCTTTACTTTTATTTTAGAATAGTTTTTAAGAAGAAACATATACTACAATAAAAGAATTTCACTCTTTCTAAATAAACTTTCTTTTTTACAATTTTTTCCTGACTCTTGAATTTGATAAAATAATGTAGATGGCTTATTTAACATACCTACAGTTGAGTAATATATTAATAAATATTAGTCGAAATAATTTATCTTTAAAAATGTGTTTAGCAATTTTCTTTTGTTTTTTTTTCTGATAGATTTCATGTGTCTATTATAAAAGAATTAAAATATGCAAAAGAAAATATTTTTATTGAAAAATAATAACATGCTTCCTATACAATTTTTGCATTTTTCAAGATAGTAAATGTAAAGTTTATATTTTGAGCTTTCAACATGCAAACAAAAACACGTTTTATATAAAATAAAACTGTGACTTTGATTATTGACAATATTGTTATTACATTATTTCCAATTTTTAGTTAATTTAATTTTATAAATGTCATAACACTGAGGGGTTCCTCAAAGTTCTTTCGTGAATAAAAATAAAGAAGGAAAAGCCACAATTTGAGTGCTTTAAACGTAAAATAAACCTTAGTCTTAAACTATATATACTATCCTGTTCAAAAGAATTGACTGATTTTTAAAATGTATAAATATTTTAAATGTTTCAAAGATTATTAAATTCTGTTTAAAAAGTCTCCTATCTTGCAATGTTTTTCTCTTGAATTAAAAATTAATAAACAATTGTCAAGTTTTGTATAATTTTAAAATATATTTGTATAGTTTAGTTTCTCTTGAATTAAAATAATTTGAAATTTAATTTTTATGTTTGTAAAAGTTACAACCTACTACATTGCTTAGGTGTATACCTAAGCAATGTAGTAGGTTGTAACTTTTATATATAAAAAAATTTAATTTCAAATTATTTTAATTTACAAATAAAAAAAAGATAGCTTTTCTTCATATTGAGATTTTACACCATTTTCAAAACCAACATAGAGAATGCAGACTAGAGGACTAAACCTAACCATATAGTTGCAAACTCTCAAACCTTATTTAAATAGCATATTATTCTCTGAAAATTGTTACTTCACATGATACAAAAACCTTCAAAGAACAATCTTAATTTATTATGAATTATTCACTGTTACATTTCTTTGAAGTGCTAACCAGTATTATTATAACAAAAGACTTTTAAAAATAGTAACCATAATTTATTATAAATTATTCTGTCTTGCTTTGCATGTGTGACATTTTAAGTGCTAGCCACTTATCCTTTGATTAAAGACCCGTTTAAAGAACAACTTTAATTTATTATGAAATAATGTCTAATACTTCGAATGTTTTCGTCTGAGTGCTAACCACTTTTTAAATGTGTATTTGCTTCTGTATATGCATGTTCTATACCCATTTTAGGAAGTGCTAATTATTTTGGCATGTTAAGTATAATAGAGAATTGATGTTTTTAAATACACTCGTGTTTGTGAAAATTGCCGCACCATGAAGAAATTATGCAAATTGAACCAAACGTACATGAAATGCAAAGTGGGAAAAGACATGCAAGTTATTAAAATTGCAAAGTGGTGTTTATTTGTACCAGTCTTAATAATATTTGGAATGAATCATTCATTTCTGACAATTCCTTCAAGGTGTTGCAAGCGAAACAATAGTTTAAATATTTTTACAAACATTAGTGTATATTAGATTATAACTATTTTGCCAATGGAAAAAACTCCCCTCTTCACTAAGTCGAAAGTTATGTGCTGCTATGGAAACAAGAAGTAACACACTTCTAAGAAGAGAGCTCTCACTCCTCTGATTCTTTTCCTAATTCTTGTTCCAGACAAATTGTGAGGGGAGTTCTTTCCATAGATAGGCTATAAGTGATATGCATGTTTTATTTGATTTTATAAGTAATCTATTTCTGAATACTCATTTATTTTATACATTTATTTATTAAATTTATGGTAATTTAGAATAAAATTTGTTTTTTATTAAAATTTTTAGTTTTCATAAAGCTTGAAAAATACTCATGGTTTATTATTTTTATCCTAGGTTTTTAAAATACTCATTTTGAGACCATAAAATTAAATTCAATTTTATGAAATAAACTTATTTGCGTGAAACTCATTTTTTAAACTTTAAGTAAGTTTCTTTGCTTTTTTTAAAAGAATATCTATACTAAAATGTAAAAAAGTACACAAAATTATGTATTGTAACACTTTTTTAATTAATAAATATTTATATTTGTATATTGGTAGCTAGCTTTTACTTGTTCAAAATTTTGTTTATTTCTAATGTTTGTTTTAGAGCTTCAAATATACTGGTGTTAAGGGTTGTCTGATTGCTTTCTATTTGTGATTTCTGTGTCTTTCATTTATTACTTTTGCATGTTTTTGTATATTTATAAATTCATCTATTATATTAAACAAATGTTGTAGAATGTACTCATAATTAATAGTGCTTATAAACAAAAACTCATAGATATAACACAATCTATAAATAGTAGTAAAATTCTTGTTCAAAAATAATTGGGAAAAATAATCGGATTTATTAAATATTCATACATATTAATAAAACTTAAAAAATTAAATGTACTCATATATTAATAGGGTTTAGCTTGTAATATTTCTGAAAAATCTATTAAAATGAAATTTTTTTTCAATGCTTAATTATCCTTTTTTTTACATTTTAATTTATTAATATTATCTTTTGAATTCTTAGCTGACTAAAACAATTACCATATATATTTTGCATACAGTTTTTCGTGCTTATAATTTTTTTAGTTGAGTTTCTTTAAATAGTTGGACATTTGTAGATACATATAACAATATAGAATGCTTTATTATTTTAACTAAAATGGATATTAGTTTAATTCTATCACGGACCTTTTTTTTTTTTTTTTTTTTTTTTTTTTTTTTTTTTTTTTTTTTTTTTTTTTAGTTTCTTCATGTCTCTATACTTAATAATAATTTGTTCCTTTTCTTTTATTACATATGTATAATTTAACGTATAGTACACTCAATTGTAGTATAATGTGAAATTTCTTTTTAACATCCATTTCCCTGCAATTGTACTGTCTTTATTTAAAAATTTCTTTGCTAATTTCTCTATAATTTATATACTTTAAAATGTTTTGTACTTTTCCATTTTGCTTTTTCTTAAAATTCTTTAAATGTTTAGTATTATATTCTAAATTAAAATAATATTTATATAAAATTTTCAACTTTCAATTCTCTTCAATTCTACTGACATTATAAAATAATTCATAGTTTTTGTAATCAGTGTGTTTCTCCCCATATATATTATTTAATTTAACATTAATTATGATGTTAAATATCATATATTAACGTGTTTTGAAAGTTTTTATTTTTATACATGTTTAACATCCATGTGATAAATTTCTGAAGAATATTTTTATTATCATAATAGCACAACTGAATTGAAGAAATTTTTTAATTTCCAGTTTTATATGCATGGTTACAACTAATTTATTAAACTTTTCAATATATATTGCAAAAGAAAATATTTTT